GAAATCGTGGATGACGGCCCGTTTGCATGATCGCATTCCTCAGTCGTCGTATTCTTTTTGACCAATTTCACAATTTACGATACCCATCCGGGTATATTCCTCGGGACGATTTGACACGGAAGAACGAGCCGCTTGACTGGTAAGCCCTTTCGTAATTGTAGAAAATTGGTTAATTCCATTAATTAATTTCGTTTCATGTTTCCGGTCATCAATTCACAGTTCCTACGGTCGTGGTTTTCCATCTGATATTTGCCAGTTTTAATGAATTCGGGGAAAGCCACGTGTCTGATGACTGAAATGCACTTATGCAAACCAGCGTGTAACCCGAATTCACCGGTAAAGGTCATCATGCATCCAAAGAGTGGGTCAAGATCACGAGTTCGCTTTGATCATGGCAATAGTAGCATTGTGTAAGGAGATTGTTTTCCTCTGTCCTGGTTCCCGTAAAACACCCAAGACCATTCGAGTTATCTATCAAACACAGCTTAATCGTTCGCAGAAGACATCTCACTTACCGTAAATTGTCCTCAAAGAACTTCGTATCTGTCGGAAACATTCAAACCGATTTATTCACAACCCATCGTCGTCAACAAACCATCTGGTGAAGTTCAAAATGCATGATTTTGTCGACTCATTGTGCCTGTTATATGCATGCATCCAGAGATTTCCTATGGACGGACACTGCCTTCACGAATAAACAGAAAGAAAATGCACTTTTCTTTCAAAACTCCAGCTATTTGATACTACTGAGTTCAGTCATGAAGTATCGAAATGCAGTTTGTGGAGTTACATCCAAAATGCAAACTACTCAGAATCTGTGCTGTGGTAGGGCTGAACAAAACGTTTCCGTATGCACAAAAAGTTTTATTTGTTACATAGAAACAAGCATTAAATTTTCTCGAAGTATTGTCCACTAGCTTTCACACAATTCCATGTGCTCAAACCATTTGATGAAACAGTTCAATCATGCCCAAGCCGTACCCCGTCGATCAGGTTAAGGAAGGCCTCCCCTGCAATGGTGTTGGTGACTCGTGTCGGATTCCACGCATCATGCTCTTGACATGGAAGACCACAAAATGTCACACGGTGCCAGATTTGGACCGTAGGGTGGGTGACCAATCTCCTTAATACGTTCTCCAGACAGAAAATCACCGTCGTCATAGGTCCTGTGTGTAGTGTCATGGTGCAGCAAGGTCCCTCTTGCTCCAGTTCTTGCACAAAGCCTGGCATCAGCTTCCCGCACTTTTGGCAGAATGGGTTGTGCACGAATCTCCAATAACCGTGTTTTGCGGCACCGTGGCCACATTACATATTTTGGCCAGGAACGCAGCCACCATCCGCTTCGCCATACTGCGCTCGCGTTGGAATTTCTGAGAGGGCACGACACCAACCGACGTCCACTGAGCCGTTTTTT